CCGTAGACGGCTTCACACAATACACTCCAGCACGACATTTCGACAGCGCCGGACGCAGGAGACCCAGCTTCTCGCCATGATGCTCATGAGGAGATCTGGCCCAGACACCGACTCTCAGACTAACCTACCTCACAGGGCTGTTGTAAGAATGAGACTCAGAGGAGTCGGGTTCTGTAGGCCACCATGGGTTCCTTGCTACTCTTACCCCCCCCCCGGGGTTGTGAGCCACTCCCCTCACCAAAAAAAGGGGGGAAACCCTAGGGTAAGAAGAATTACACTGTACTGAAGCCCCTACCTGTGAGGAATGGCTGCAAAATTTATCGTCCCCCTGGAGAAATTCAGTCCAATATTTCCCCAAGTTCTGTGCCTACACATGGGGGGAAATGTTTGAGCGGCCATTTGTGTGTGCCTGTTTCTGAAGCATCCCCCCTCCTCACCCCCCCCCCCGCCTTCCAAACCCTGGTGCCTCTCAAAGCTCAGTGTCTGATAACACAAACCCAAAAGCAAATTGCCTCTCCCGAAAGAGTAGGGAGGAAACAGTAACCAAGGACCACATCTCCCGCCCCCCAAACAAACATTCACACTTCTAAGAGATGCAAAACTTAAGTGTTAGTCTCTTGGGAAAGAGACCAGGACAACAACCTTGGCGAATTCCAGGCCAAGATTATGCAGCTTTTTCCAGGGGATATCCCGGATTTCCTATTAAGCAACAAGAATAACCCAGTCCCAAGTTCACAAAACCATGCTCAGCTGATGCACTCAACTCTGTCGGGGCATCAAACAATTCCAGTGTTTAGTTAGCTCACCATCAATATTCTAGCAAATTAATTCATCAATCCATATTTATGCCGGCACTCAGTTTATGGATTAGTTAATCTCTTTTTCACTTTTACATTTTTAAAAAATTCCATGTTTTCATTTATGGTTAAAGAATCCTAAAGCAACTTTCCCAAGCTGCAACCGTCTCCCCACTTGAGGAAGTATGAGTTTTATAAACAAAAACAAACACGCATTGTGAGGAGAGCTCATATTTCATATTGTTCCCCACGACGCACAGCCTTTGCCATGATCCTGACAACTCCGCAGACATTAAGGGCAGGATTGTTCCCTTGTCTGGGCATCAACCCAGGCGGATATGTAGGACCACGTGGCACGGTTAGAGTAAACCCCTTCTTTCTTTAACCCATCAAGCATTATTGATAAATGCTTTAAGAACAGAAGAAAAGCCTAAAAACTGGATCAGGCCACGAGTCCATCTAGTCCAGCATGCTGCACAACACACAGCCAACCAGTGGCTTGTGGGCACCCTGCCACACTTCTTTATGCCATACAGCTGCAAGGGCACCTTAAGCATTACAGGTGTACAATCTAAAAGGCATAGCACAAAAGGAAAGAGAATTGGGAGAGGGGAGGAAAAAGCGAATCCAGGCAATAGATTCTCATGGCCGGGGTCAGCCATAGTGGAGCTGGCGCTAAGCTCCTTGGAAGGGCAGGTGGTTCTCTGCTCCCTCTGATGGCCTCAGCAGCGACAGGTGGGGGCAGGATGGAGTGGGGGCGCAGCTGGGGCGGCATCTTTGCATGGGGGGCTGCTAGGCTGGTGCTTCCTCTCTCTCTGACTAAGGAGGGCGTGAGTACCAGGCCCCCTCCTCAACATATCCCCGGCAAGGAGGCAGCATGTAGCCTTTGGGGCTGGATCGGGCCCAACCCAGCGTGCTGTTTCCGTGGTGGTCAGCCAGGCGCCTGCAGGACGCACCGGACCGGACCGGACCGGACCGGAGCGGCGGACACCCCCCCCCCGCGCTAGGGCCGCTTCCAGAGGGACCCTAATGCTGGGGCCGCCATTCCTTCTCCGCGCCCCATCCCCCGCGCAGGGTCCATTCACGGACGAGGCACAAGGTCGGCACCCTAACAACTTAGGTTCCCATCCAGATCCAGACCAAGCTAAGTGCGCATTCTTGGGAAAGCCTAGACACACGTTCCCGGGCAATAAACCCGGTGAACTCGGAGGGATGTACCTGCGGGCGATACATGAGCAGCTTCCCCAGGTCACTTCTGCAAAAAGTAAAAAAGCGCCCGCCCTCCAAATAACCCGGCACCCCAAATAACCCGGCACCCCAATGTGTGTTTAGGCGCAGAAAAGTTTCCAGCTCTCAGGAAAATCCAGTGCGCAGCGATTTCCCCCCGTCTTAACGGAATTAGGATTGCGCCCCAAACGGCTTGCTCGGCAAAGGAGTAGCAGTACTGGACAGGCCGCGTTTACTCACCGAGCGGGCCGTTCCAGCACCCGGGAGCGCGCCTCGCTCCCACTCCGGCCGAGGCCGCCGGATCAGTGGGGCTCCCGGCCAAGCCCGACGTGGCGGCCCCCCGCGAGGAGAGCGCCTGGGGGCGACCCCGCGCAGCGCCTCCCCGCCCGGCCCCCGGCACTCCGGGGCGCGCCTGCTCGCGAGGAGGCCCGCCGCCCGCGCAAGGCACCCCCCCCCCGCCGAAGGCGCGCGAGGCGGCGCGGCGGCCTCCTTTGTCCCGCGCGGAGCAGCGCCCCGCTGGCGA